TGTGTACAGACTATGGGCACAGAACAGCACAAGTTCTTTTAAGCAAGAACAAAGCTGTTGATTGCAACTAAGCTCAGAACCTGACTCTAAGTTTAGAGAAGGCAAAGGGAAAGTCAACGGGTTGAGCATGATTTGAGATTTAAAGCACAAAACTTTTCTCTTATTCTTTTAAAGGAAGGTATTTTTATGTTTGAAGAATTATCTGGATAATTACCTTCCTGCAAATCTAATGACTACACCGATGACTACTATTTCTACCAGAAGCATATAAATATAAAAAGAATATTATGATTAACCCTACAAAGAATAACAAAGAAGTTTGAAGAAAATAATTAAAATGTATTACATAAAGTAGTTCAAAATGTGAAGGACTATAAAAATAAATTTTTTATTCTCTAAGACCAGTATGCCCAGAACAGGCAAAAATATTTTTTTTTCTTGAAAAAGGAGATAAATATCTGAACATGGTTTTTGTAATCATCGGTGCTTTGAAGCTTTGGAAAAAAAATTGAATGTATTTAATTTGTATACCTGTAAGGTATCTGTCCACTTAGTTATTAATCACTGCTGAAATGATTGATTTATAATATAGAAACTTAATACTAAATACAATTCATTGTTGATGTCAGTCATTTTATTTGTTTGTCATTAAAAAGTAATCCAAGGTATTGATAAAAATTTTCAGTGTGGTCAAGAAAAATAAGTGCTCTCTGGATTAACAAAATTCAACACATATTTTGTTGTTGTTGATTGTGGGGCTTGAACAGTGCTGCTCTTCAGCTCAAGGAGAGCACTCTACCGCTTGAGCCACAGCACCACTTCCTTAAAACATTTCTAAGAGCAGTAGATTTTCTTCTTCTTTTGTTGTTGTGGTGGTGGTTGGTCAATTTTGTTCCATTTTTCTGTCCTTAGATTATTGTGTACGTTAGTCTTTGGTATTGTGGAGTTAATCATGTCAGTAATATTATTATCAGTAATTAGTAATTACAATCATTCATAAGTTGCACCAACTATAGTGTAATCATTTATAGAAGATATAACTTACTTTAATGTTACAATCACATATGTGTGAAGAACTTTAACTATGTCTTCTGCTGTTATCACTCTCCCATACTTTTATCTCATTTATTGGGAACAATATGCAATTTCACCTTTGTATTTTGGAAAATTATAGTTGGTGAAACATAAGAACAGTGAGTGGATCCCATAATCTGAAACCTGGGAAGTGAGGAGTAATTTCTTGCCAAATCAATGTAAAAACACCTGGATATGTCTTGTTGGTTTTAAATGTTACCAGTAACTGGATGCTGGTGGATCACACCTATAATCCTAGCTACTCAGGAGGCTGAGATTTGAGGATTGGGGTTCGAAGCTAACCCAGGCAGGAAAGTCTGTGAGAATCTTCTCTAATTAACCACCAGAAAACCAAAATTGGAGCTTTGGCTCAAAATGGAAGAGTGTTATCCTTGAGCAAATGAGCTCAGGGCCAGTGCCCAGGCTCTGATTTCAACTCCTACACTCGACAATAATAAAATAATAATAATAATAACAACAAAAATAAAATAAATACAACAATCTAAAGTTATGAGTAGTAATTGTATATCTGGATTCTAAAATAGTTGATCTAAGAGTTGAGAAAATGAGAAGAGTTGAGTAATTGTTAGTAGACAACTTAAAAGAACAGTTTATATATAGATACAATGCTATTGTTAAATAGGAAGAATATAGTCTGGTGTTTTATGCTATATCAGTGTTGACAGAATTAACAATAGTGCAATAGTTCCTCAAAGAAGAAGAGATTTTGAATATATTTCATAGAAAGAAATTATCAAAGTTTACAGTGAGGATTACACTAATTACCTGAACTGATAAATTATGCAATACCTACATGAATTGAAACATCACATTAGACCTCATAAATATGTACAAATATTGTGTGTCAATCAACAAATTTTCAAGTGGGGAGAAAAAAATATATATCTTATTATGTGAAGTTTGCTGCTGTATTCTTGCACAATTGTTTTGGAGAATGGATATCATAGTGATTCGAAATTAGCTCCTTGCCTTGAGTTGCTGTTCTTTCTATTCTAGTTAGGTACTTTTATCTGTAAGTAATGAGAATTAGGACTAGGGAAATAGCTACTTGGAACTATTCTCTCTCTCTCTCTCTCTCTCTCTCTCTCTCTCTCTCTCTCTCTCTCTCTCTCTCTCTCAGAACTCTTTTAGAACATTTTTCTAGAAGGTTTGATCAATAGAATTTTGATGTTCATTTTCAACATGAAATTCCAAATGAATCCTGCTGAGAGGAAGAAAGCAGGAACCCTGAAAAATAATTTCTCTTTGTATTTATACATGGGCAAGATAATGAGTACATTTCTTATCAAGCATTGTTGCCTCCTCCTTTGTTTCCCCTTCCCATCCCTTCCCATCTCCCTCCCCTTACTCCCCACCACACAACCACCCCCCCCCCCCGCGCCAAAGTTGTAAAGTTCATTTTGACATAACATCTTGTACATCTCATTGGTGCAATGGGTCCACCTGTATCCCTATTTAAACAATTTGTTTTTTTTTTCCCTTCCCCTCCACAAATTATACCAACATATACTTTTGATAATGTGATATTGGACTGTGACCATTAAGGTTATTGCTGAAAAACTAGAGAAAAGTTATAAAAGCAATGACCAGATCTGCAGAATTTCTTTTTCTTTTTCTTTTTTTAAAATTTATTTATTTTTATTGTGAAAATACCATACAGAGGGGTTACAATTACATGGGCAAGTTAATGAGTACATTTCTTTTTTATTTTATTTATTTATTTTTTTATTAGTACATTTCTTATCAAGCATTGTTGTCTCCTCCTTTCTTTCCCCTTCCCATCCCTTCCCATCTCACCCCGTCACCCCACCCCCACCCCCAGGCCAAAGTTGTAAAGTTCGTTTTTCGACATAACGACTTGTACAGCTCATTGTTGCAATGGGTCCACCTGTATCCCTATTTAAAAGATTTTTTTTCCCTTCCCCTCCACAAATTATACCAACATCAAATACAGTGAAAGCAGGGCTTATACCATGCAGGAGGGACATACAAAGCAACAAAGAAATCATCTTATAAATATGTTAGAAACAATCACAAGAAAGAAAAAAAATTGAATACTTATCTTGGGGTAAGAAATGAGTCTTTTTTTAAATTAGTAAATGTTTCTTCCTTTTAAACTCTACAATTAGTTAACTAAACTGATCTATAGTAAGCTATTTAGAAATCACAATGTAGAATTTGAAGCAAAAAAAGAAAAATTTTAATGTCAGTAAAATCTTCATACAGACCCCAATGTGAGATAAAAAAAGTTTAACTCTTGTCAAGGCTTAAATATTTCATAATTTTATAATATTATAATTTTGTAATATTCTGTTTTATTTTATCATTATACAAAAGTGACATAAAGTATCCTCATACATCTAGTTAATTCATAACTTCCCAAACATTACAGTCACGTTGTTACAAACAAGTTGTTTAGGACTTTATTTTGTAATATTGTGTGTGTTGACTTGGAAATTTGTTCTTAATCATTCATTTCTTATATTATTATTAAAATCACTTAATATTCCCTAAGCTGGCTCTTCTTCAGGCAGCTAGAGACCTTGAGGCTAGAAGCCAGTATGGGATTAAAGATTTGTCACGGGTAATCCACGAAGTAAATAAGCCTAATGTGAGTAATTGAAAGTGGGTTAGATTTGTAACATAGGAACTATTGAAAGTAAATTCAAAGCTGAAGTCCCTCCTCCATAGTAATTTTTTTCTCATTATCCATTTGCTAGAAAAAGGGACTGGCACTGATAACTCTGTAATCAGAGAAGCATTTGTGAATTGTCAATATTTTACCATATGATCTGCAAACATATTGACCTCATCTTCCTGATAGGAACCTCATATTATAAAGGCTTGAGCAATGTGAGAATTGGAAAGTGTTGCCATGGGTATTTAACCCCTTTGCAATTTTCAAAACTATGAAGAAGAAAAGGAAGAAGAGGAAGAAAGAGGAAGATATTTTGCACATTTTATCATATTTCTAAAATGCCTTCCACTTTCAATCTTATTGAAATTTGAGAACATCTAGCGCTGGAAATTAAGCTCCCGGCAAGAGCACTTGCCTAGCAGGTGGAAGGTCTTAAGTTCAATCCTCAATCAACAAAAAACAAACAATAAAAATGAAAGATAAAATCTACACATGAGTGCCATGAAAAGAATTTCAGTTGTAAATGGAGCTTTCATGATACATTGTGCTAAAATAAGTGATGAATAAGGGAAAAATAGAATATTTGATTTGCTGGTGGTACTCTATTAGCATTTCTCAGCCTACTATTTTCTTCCCACAATTAGAATTGTATGTGTCATGGATTTCTGATGGACAATTGTACAAGGTACTTATAAATGATTGGAGAATTGCTACAAAGATGGGTGAAAATATTTGAAGAGGTAACATTGATCAAAATGCATTTTATTTGTAAACTACTTTGTAAAATGGCAACTCCTCTGAACAGTTAGTTAAAGGTAATAATAATGATAATAACAATAATAACACCAAGCACTGTTAATCAGGCAGCAAGACATTAAAAAGTTCCTTTTAAAAAGTGTATCTACTGCTGGTGGCTTACACCTGTAATCCTAGCTATTCAAGAGGCTGAGATTTGAGGACCATGGTTTGAAGTCAACCCAATCAGTAAAGTCCATTACACTCTTATCTCCAGTTAACCACCAAAAAGCTGGAGGTAAATCTGTTGCTCAAGTCATAGAGTACTAACTAACCTTGAGCAAAATAGCTCAGGGACTGTGGCCTGTGACACACACACACACACACACACACACACACACGTGCGTGTGCATGCACACATATATCTTCTAGATTTTATTACCAAAACAGGACTGTCATAAATAGGAGATATTTCAGTAACAGTTTCATCTCGGATCCCTTTCTTGCTCATGTGTTTCCTCTTTGCTCACAGGTTTCATATACACTGGAGAAGTTGTACATAGAATGCTCACGGCCACACAGTATATAGCACCTTTAATGGCAAATTTTGATCCCAGTGTTTCCAGAAATTCAACAGTCAGATATTTTGATAATGGTATGTATTGATTCAATTCTTTTTGTCAAATGTATGTTTCAAAAACAATCATCATGTCATTCATGTTAATATTTGGAAATCCTTTTGGGTAGAATGGATTTATAAACTGCTTGATGCTCATTCTCTGAGAGAACACAATGGTAGAAGTACACTGGCCCAATGGAGCTCATTCACTTGTTCATCCAACAAATGTTTACTAGAATCTTTGTCACACTATAATAACATGTTGCTGTAGGCAGAACCTTAGACAAAGCAAATACATTGATTTGATGATATGTTACATAAGTCTTTCCTATTTAAGGATATTTAAATAATCAGAATATATTTGTAATAAATTTCTATTTAAAGGTATTTAAATCAGCATAATATATTCACAATAAATTCCTATTTAAATATATTTAAATCAGTATAATATATTCATAGTAAATTTCTAAAAGTTACGAACTCCCATATGTCCCACCACCACCAAAAATAAATAAATAAATGAGGATTTTAGGAATGCAAAGTATCTCTAGAAAAGGCACTAGGCACTGGGTTAAATACTTACACTCCAAATTAAGTAAATAAGAATTTTAGAAAACTGTGTGGCAAAGTAGGAAATTTCTTCTAAGGTACTATCTCTGTGAGAACTAAAGTAGATTTTAAAAGTGAGTCTTAATGATTACTGCAGTCTGAGTGAGTCATAGAATATTAATGCACCAAAATGAAAGAAGCCGTAAAAGTAACCCCTTTTACTAGAAAAATAATTTGATGGGTCATAAATAGCACATCATACACTTTTATTCCTACCAGTTGACCAGAGATCTGATCAGGCATAAAATCAGAAAGTTTGGATGCTAGTGACCTTGAATAGCACTGTCATTCCATTTTCACTTTTACTTTGGAGATTTTTTTTTTTACTGTTAAGGTAATGGCTACAGGAGCTCAGTTCTAATAAACATATAGGACGGGCTGGGAAGGTGGCTCAGTGGTAGAGCGCTTGCCTTGCATACATGAGGCCCTGGGTTCGATTCCTCAGTACTACATAAGCAGAAAAAGCTGGTGCTAGCCTTGAGCTGAAGAGCTCAGGGACAGCACCCAGGCCCAGAGTTCAGGCCACATGACTGAAAAAAATAAATAAATAAACACATAGGAGAAAGAGTATATGAATTTCTGCAGTCAGTTATTAAATAACTTTAGAGAAAGTCTATGTCCGTGAAGCTGAGAAAGGGACACTCGACTCTGAAAATGTGCGTTTTCTTCAGCCCTGCTTTTCTTTGGTCATATTTTTTTTCCATCATAGTTGTCCAAGAAAAAGTCATTCCTGGTCCACTTAGTCAATTGTTTTACTCATTTTCAGCGCTAGCTAGAGAGAGAGAGATTTTGAGTAAAGGACTAATTAGGAAAACAGCAGATAACAGAGATAAACATGTATCTCTAAAAGCCATGTTTACCTACATAACATGAAGTTTTAGATTTTTGCAATATTTAGAAAAAGATGAACCCTGAAATGCTGGTTCTCTGATAAACACATTAATAGAAATGACCCACAAATTTGAAAATTTAACTAAAGTTATTGATGCACAATAATCTCCCCACTGAAACTAACTACCCCATAAGATAAAATACAATTTTTCCAAACAATTCTGAGTACCTAAAGCTAACAATATATTAAGAATATCAACTTAAGAATCCACACTATAATAAAAAAAGAAATTTTGGTCACTTATTTCCTCTTTTTTTCTGTTTTCTGTTTTTGTGTGTGAGTAGATTTTTCTTTTCTTTTTCCTTTTTTCTGTTCTTTTTCCTTTTTTCTTTTCTTTTCTTTTTTAATTTGTGCTCTACCATTTGAACCATGCCTTTAAACCAGCTTTTTCCTGTTTGTCTGGGAGATGAGGTCAGACTTTTCTGCCCAGGTTACACTCAAATGAACACTACTTGATCTCAAACTCCTGAGTAGCTAGGATGATATAGATATATTATTTTCTTATAATAAATGTATTTTCTTATGATAAATACAGCAATCATTTATTGAGGATCAGGCAAGGATTGTCCTTTCCATGTCATAGGAGAGGAAATAGGATCTGAATGTAGATTAGGCCCAAGCAGCTAGAGAGGGATTTAGGGATTACAGGGCATAAATCTATGTCTTCTGATCTTCCTTTAACAGCACATCCAGGGTGTGATACAAATGAGACCCTCAGGGCTTGAGGCATAAGAGAAACAAGAGAGGTTTAGAGGGAATTTTATGATTAGGAGAGCCTTCTACTTATAGAATTGTGAAGCATTTCCCTGGCTAACATTTTCTTATAGCCTTTCTAATTTTCAAAAATACGAGATAGCATAGACTATGAGATGGCCTTGGAAGGGAGAAACCCGGATTTTCACTCATGACAGTAATATGCATGAGATGTTTCCTCCAGCTAAAATCACCAAGGTGACATTCAAAAACATTTTGTGGAGCCAAGCACAGTGGATCATGCCTGTAATCCTGGCTGAGCAAGAGGATCATGAAGCATGGGCTGTGTACTGAGACTCTCTCTGAAAAAAAAATTGTTTTCACTATTTTTAAAGTAGCTCAAAAGAAATATATTTCTATACTTCGACATTTTATAATAAAAATATTTCACGTAACTATCTCTTAAAGTTGTCAGCTCAAGAGACAATACTAATAGCACTAATAGCACAGAATGCTTTCTGAAAAGTACTTTTGTTACACAACAATGATTTTTATCAATCAGATATTTTCTGCCCGGAAATAAATTTTGCTCTTTAGTTCAACTTTTTTTTTTTTACAAAGCCAAATAGCATCAATTAGAGTTAAGGAAAAATACTAGCTGCAAATTAAACACACACGCACACACACACACACACACACACACACACACACATTATCTTTGCTGACAAGTATTAATCTGTGTTTCAGCATCTACTTTGCATTGAGTTTAATCATGAGGCCATCAGAATAGAAGGCACAGGGCCATGGGCTCAGCCAATCAGCTTCAAAGAATCTTCAGAAACATTAGCCCAGAGTCCTCAGAACTACCTGACAGCTGTCTAGAAACAAAGCAAGGAAGACAGAAACGTGATCCACTGTTACTCAGAAAGGAAAATTCCCATTAATATGAAGGGACTTCTTCAGAGGGGAGAAGAATATAATTCTAAGTAGGGAGAGACATTTGCAAGTCTTTTATAAATGGGCCTAGTTTTTCTGAATATGTACCTTTCTCAAATACTTTCTTCAAAAGTATTTGAAGTTCATTGAATCAATCCACTTGGCTGCATTTTGAAAGCAACTTACAGCAATGTAAGCCCATAGTAGCCATTAACATTAATGAAATTCCTACGGCAAGATTCCTTCACACTGAGTTGGCTCAATATTAACCTCAGTATGAAGTGAGACACACACACACACACACACACACACACACACACACACACACACACACACACACACACACACACACACACACGACCCAATTGCTCTTTCAGTGGAGGAATTACAATTAACCGTAAAAATTGCAATGGTATACCTACTGGATTTGAAGGCTGGATAAATGCTTCTGTGACTGCTCTCCCCAGAACTGAGAGGTGTATTTGTCTCATTGCATTTTTGTTGTTGTTGTTTTGTTTTGGCCCTCGGCAATGGCAGGTACTGCACTAGTTGTCCAGTGGGACCATGTACATCTCCAGGATAATTACAACTTAGGCAGCTTTACGTTCCAGGCAACTCTTCTCATGGATGGACGCATCATCTTTGGGTACAAAGAAGTAAGTGACCTTGACCATGACCCCTCCCTGCATGTGCCAAGAACAGCATATCTCCTTTTTCTTGTCTACTGTGTTATTTTGATTAATAAATGCACTTCTTTATTTTTAATCTCCTGGGTGACATTTACAGTAAATTTGGGGAGAACTTTCTTTTGGGACATACACTGGTATCATTTACATTGACCCACAAATTCTGTAAAATTATGGAATAATTACATTACAGTGAACAACTCTAAGAAAAAACTTCCACTTTGTATAAGTTTTTCATCTACAATTGAATATTTATTTATTTTTTTTTAAATTTTATTTTATTTTATTTGAGAACATACTGTACAGAGGGGTTACAATTACATGGGCAGGATAATGCATACATTTCTTACCAAGCATTGCAGCCTCCTCCTTTGTTTACCCTTCACCTCCCTTCCCAGCCTCCCCCCTCCCCCCCACCCAAACATACCCCCCCTCCTCCCCCCCACACCGACATTGTAAAGCTGGTTTTGACATGACATTTTGTACTTCTCATTGTTGCAACAGGTCCACCTGAATCCTTAAACGACTTGTTTGTCCCCATCTCCTCCACATGTTATACTGACATCAAATATAGTGAAAGCGGGGGTTACACTGTGGGGGAGGGACATACAAAGCAACAAAGAAATAATCTTATAAATGCGTTAGAAACACCATGCATGAAAGAAACAAAAACATTAAAATACATATTTGAGGGTTCATTTTCCTAACATCACATTCTCTGACTTTTTCCGCTTGACTCATACCTATACTAGATATTGCAAATAAGGGAAACCATGGGACCTATGTTTCTTTGGGCCTGGCTTACTTCACTTAATATAATTTTTTCCAAGCCTTTCCATTTCCTAACAAATGGGGAAATGTCATTCTGTCTGATGGAGGCATAGAATTCCATTGTGTATATATACCACATTTTCTTGATCCATTTATATCCTTAGTATTTTTTAGGGCGGTAGTGTTTTATTGACTTCTGCAATGGTTTTTTTTATTCTGATTCCCAAAATGTAAATGAACCTGAAAACATGAATAGTTCAGTGACTCAATACTGAGAAGCTCAGTAAGTCACTCCCACAACAGTTGGCTAATGGTTATTGGAAGCTGACAGGAAAGATTAATTAGTGCTGTAAGTGACAGAGTGAGAGGACTTCTTTCCTTTTTAAAATAAAACGGATGGGGCAGGGAAAGTAGCTCAGTGGTAGAGTGCTTGCCTTGCATGCATGAGGCCCTGGGTTCAATTCCTCAGCATCACATAAGCAGAAAAAGCTGGAAGTGGTACTGTGGTTCAAAGTGGTAGGGCGCTAGCCTTGAGCTGAAGAGCTGAGGGACAGCGCCGACGCCCAGAGTTCAGGCCCCACAACCAGCAAAATAAATAAATATATAAATAAATAAAAATAAAACTGATAAAAATAAAGAATAAAAACTTCCTAAATCATAGCCTTAAATGTGTAGAATGTTTAGACTGGAATTACAATGTGCTTGATTTTAAGCTCATTTGACAGTGCAATTAAAAGCTACTAGACAAAGAATATAGGAATCATGTCCCAAATACTAGAGATAGGATTTTTTTTTCAGGCAAGCAGTACTTTTGAGAGAAATCCTGACAAAGTAAATAAATAATGGTATTATTAACACAGGTTAATGGGTATTTATAATAATATAAACTATGTATTCTTTTCAATTGAGGGATTATCTTCTCTTTGGAGAAATGAATCCTTGATTATTAAACACAAAATGTTGATAAGGAAATATTTCATATTGGTCAAATCTCCTGGAATGTAATCATAAAGTAAGAGATGGCTAAATTTTAACTAAATGAACCAATTTTTAAAAATCCAACAAGTATACTAGATCTTTTTACTCAAAGAGAATTTCTGTGTGAAGTATCTTTTCACTTAATTGGGGCAATAATATCAATAGGATATTATATGGGGTGTGTCCTGAATTGCATTTCTTCTTCCAGGGCTATGTGTTGCTATCATAATCCACTGAGTTCTTTTATCATGTTTCCTGCAAGTGGAGATAATAGTTCTCAAAAGGACTTATTTGCTTATTCATTGTAATCTAGTGCAAAAAGAGCACTCACCTTTAGGAATGTCAATATTCAACAGATTTAGGCCGCAGTAGTAAAACTTCATGAATGCCCAAGGTCACTGAGTCTATGGCCTTAGAATTCACCCACTGTAGACTTTGTCAAAACAGATACTCTTTTTCTTATTACGGTTTCTATCTCTCTAGCCTTCACTATCAAAATTATCATCTTTATTTAGATTGTTCTCAAGGGGCCTCTCACATTACAGAACCAAAAGTAGGTTCTCCTTTCTTCTGAGTTGGCACTTTAGTTTTCCTTTCCTTCACTTTAATTGTTGAACATTTGCTGGTTTCCTGTTTTGTCATAGGCAGTATTAAGATGATAGGCAGTTTGATATTGTCTTACTTCCCACACTGTGGTCCAGTAGAACATCTTCTGCCTGTGCTCAGAGTTCAAAGAGCTCATTTTTATTTGCCTTACTCCCCTTTTCTGTATCCTCGCCAGAAAGTAATTTCTTCTTCTTTTTCATTTCTCCTAGTAATTATCATGCAATCTATTTTGCAGGATTTCTATCTGTAAATTTTTGCTAAAATATGAGGCTCTTTGCATTTGAGAAGAAGATGCTCCTGGCACTCTACAAAGTATTTTTTAAAAAATCACATAATAGCTGGGCACCAGTGGCTCACGCCTGTAATCCTAGCTACCCAGGAAACTCAGATTTGAGGATCACAGTTCGAAGCCAGCCTACACAGGAACGTCCGTGAGAATCTTATCTCCAGTTAACCACCAGAAAACCAAAATGGCACTGTGGCTCAAGCGATACAGCACTCGTCTTGAGCTTAAGAGCTGAGGGACAGCACCCAAGCCCAGAGTTCAAGACCCATGAACGATGACAACAACAACAAAAATCACATGATAGTATAAAACAGCACATTGCATAGTCAGTTATTTTGCAAAGTGCTTGCACATGCATTATTTGTTTCAACTGTTCGACAATCTCTGGTGTCCGTAAAGTTTTAAAAAAAAAGTGTTCCACAAAAATTTCTCAACTTAATTGTGGAGTTAGGTAACACATGATTCTTTATGGCTAAGCAAGCTGAGAAAGATGAGGATTTTTTTTTATATGTGAAATTTAGAAAATCAAATTCTTATTTCCTATTCTGTTAATAACTGACTGCAACCCAAGAATCTGAATCTTTATGTTTTTGTTTACATTGCTATTGTACACTCAGAATGGTTTGTCTGATTACAACCAATATGGACTAAAATTTTTAATCTATTAATAATTTAACAAAGAAACCTTTACTCTCAATATTTTTCAATAAGAGTAGAGGAGGTTTAACGTTAAATATCTTTGTGTCTGACATTGTCTGTCCTGGCACACATCGTCAATTAGAAGTGGCACCTTTCCTGACCTGTTTCTTCTCTTTTCACTTGAAATTTTGAATTTGCAGTCACTCTGCTCTTGGTTTGAATTTTCTGTTACTCTGGATTCACACTGGGGAAAGATGTCATTTTTCTTGTATGTATTGAAAATATGGTGACTTTTATCTACTTCCAGTTCACGTGAGAGGCAAGGATGATCATCGGGTTAGGATAACGCAATTAAAAACAAAAAGACTTATAATATTATTGCATGGGGATGGGAAGAAGTAATGAATAATGGAATCTGTCGGTTCTATTTTCTTAGTTAGGCACCTTACCATCTTGTTGAACAGCAAATTTTATAGAAGGTCCCTATAGAGAAACTTCACTTTATTAAGTAAAACCACTTCTTAATCCCTTCCACCATTTGTACTAAACCTAATGTTCTTTAGTGTGACGCGCATTGCTTCCATGGTAACAGGTTAGCTAATAAATCGTCCTTGCCTATAACTTGTAGGTTTTAATGGGGCCCTTAATGCAGTTTTTAAATTTCTTCAAAGACTATTTCTCTTATTTAAACTATAATAACCCAGAATTCATAGTTGTTATGCTGAAAATATTAAAAGAGGAACACATAAAATTTTAGAATTTATGGGAACTGGATAATTCAAGAGAGAAAGAGGCCAGAAGAGACTCAACAATGAGCCAGCCAGCATCAAAGTACCATTTGTCCCCATAGTTACTGTTGTATGGATGAGAATGCTTGAGATATATTTGATAGATACAGATAAATAGATAGATAGATATAACATTAATATATATTATAAAATACATAATGAATATAACATAGCCATGTAATATGATGCATATATAATACACATATAATATAGACCTATATTTATAATGGAATATGCATATTTTATATATAACAAATAAAACTAGAAACATATAATAGACAATATATGATATATATTTCCTAAAACCTTTATAAATCTGCATGTAGAAAATATATATGAATGTAAGTGTGTAAAAAAGCATTATACACATGAATTTTGTGTATTGTATACCATATAAAATTGAAAAACCTAAATGGAATAAAATGCTGACTACAAACCCTGACATATTTTAAGGAAAAATCTCATGAAGTTCTACCACAGCATTTCCCTGTATTTTAAACATAGGAAGCAATAAAAATTTGCCTACATGCTCTATTAGCTCAAATGGGTTTGCATGCATGAATGTCTTTTTTTTTAACCTTACATGAGACATCTCTTGACATGTGAACTTTACTTTCCATAATGTTAAAAATGGACACATGGAGTGGTTCTCACTGTATTAAGTTCCAATAACAAATACTAGAAGTAAAAATAAATTAGTGATTCGTGTGGCCAAGTAGAAAAATCAATGTTGTGGTGAAAGATGGAAGTTATTTTTGAAACGAGAAAGCTGTTGCTGATGTTGGCTCTGCCTTTAGCAGTATCTGTCGTGCTGGACGATGGATGTGATGCTGCCAGTGGCTTTCCTTTGCCTTCAATAAAGATAGACGTTATGTCGGAGAGTGGAGGTTCTTGCCCATTAT